TGTGTGTGTGTGTGTGTGTGTGTGTGTGTGTGTGTGTGTGTGTGTGTGTGTGTGTGTGTGTGTGTGTGTGTGTGTGTGTGTGTGTGTGTGCGTTTCCGCACATTTGTATTCACCATAACTTTAGAACGCCTTTATGGATTTTACATGATAATGCGACAAATAAAAAACATTTGCACGCAAACTCCATTTTTCATGGAGGTATGGGATCTCCGAATTCTTGTTGTTTCTTTCTTGTTTTGTGGACTTTGACGGTCTGTGTTTTATATATATGCGGACAAGAAGTAACGTCTTTAAGATCCTTAAAGGTTTATTTTAAAGGCCTTCAAAGAATGCTATTTCAATTTCGCTTACTAGTATAAACCCGCTTTTTGCTTTTAGTTGATGACGGCCATTTTTGCCTCAGTAGACCTGTGTTAATACAGCGCTTTTCTGGAATCTGTGTCCTTAAGCTAGCAATCAAGCTGCTATCCAGCCATTTGTCGAACCCTCCCATTCAGCTGCATACACCATCTCTACGAAGCTAATGAAATGCGTCTTCTCAATTTATGACTTTTTATTAGGAGTAGCGCCAGTGATTGAGCTATTGGAGCAATGCTTTATTTCTCCATTCTCTAGTTGCTATGAGAGAACACCCAGCTTACTTAGGGTTTGTTAGTCGCTATTCTTCCAGCTATTCAGCCTCTTGGAATCCCAGACTTCGGGAACTGTGCATGGCGCAGTAGGGTCTGGTTCAGTTTAGCTAAATTGTTTTCCAGATTCCTCTTTTTTTATCGTTCAGTGTGTTTTTGGTCTTGCCGACTCCTTGCTCTATACTATATTACTTAGAACATGACGACAAGCATCCTCCATTCACTTTAAGTTACTTGTACCTGACGCATATAACGTCCGGGTGATATTGCCAATGGGCTATTCGGAATACGTCTCTTGCATCCATAATTTAGCCAAGGCTGAGGCTGAGCAAGCTCCCTATGCCAGTACTCATGCCCAACAATTTTCATGACTTTTGTTTTTGGTTGATGTTCACTTAGCTTTGGTAATGGTATGAGTAATAAGTTACAAAATGTTTTGTGATCAGCTTCCGATCTGTGCGCTAATTGTATTCGACAATGGCATATGTAGGCGGCGTACATGTGGGTATCTATTCTTTAAAACAGCAACATCAGATTGAACCGCCTTTGAGCTGATGATTTGCCGCTGTACTGACCCGCGCCTCACCCTCATAAAGGATCTATGCATTGTCGACCACAATTTTGTGGAGGATTATTTCGGTGTTGTGACCTAATGGCTGCATAGCGACCCATGTATGTGCATCAGTGACGCTTCTGTTGTCCTTGAACCCTGTTCAACTTTGTGTTTAGCTAGTGCTTACGAATAATGATATAACCATGATATCCGTTATGGTAGAACGTGCATGGCATGGCCTTGGTGGTTCCATGGTACATTTGTACGCTATGGGTTTTCATGTACATTGTTCCAGTGATGGGACAGAACTGAA